AAGAGGCTGAGGAGCTGGAGACTAAAGTTCTGGATGCAAGAATAAGAGTTCTGGGAAATGACCACCCAGACACAACTACTGCAATGGGAAACCTTGCTGTGACATACAGGGATCTGGGAAAGTACCCAGATGCAGAAAAACTGCAGAAACAATGTTTAGACATACGGATCAGACAGCTTGGAGAGGAGCACCCTTACACAATCACAGCACTGTCTGCTCTAGGTCATACATACCAAGTTATGGGAAAATACAGAGAGGCAGAGAAGCTTGAGACCCAAGTTCTGGATGCAAGAATGAGAATTCTTGGAAAAGATCATCCAGAGACAACCAATGCAATGGAATATCTCGCTAAAACATGCAGTAGCCTGGGAAAGTACAAAGAAGCAGAAAAGCTGCAGAAAAAATGTCTGGATGCAAGAACCACACTACTTGGAGAGGAACATCCTTTGACACTCAGAACAAAGGAATATCTGGCCCATTCATATAAGAATTTGGAAAAATACCAGGAGGCAGAGCAGCTGGAGACCCAAGTTCTGCATGGAAGAATCAGAATATTTGGAGAATCACACCAATTTACAATTTGGGCCATGGAGAACCTTGCAGTGACTTACAGGCACCTGGGAAAGGACACTGAAGCCAAAATTCTAGAAATGTCTGTTGAAGATGCTGAGAAAGGTATGTAAGATTCACATTCTCTTTACTCCACAGATGCTTATTCAAACCATCTACAGGTGATATGAATTCTTCCAATCTGATGCCACCTATAGGAGATTTCAATGACTACTGGATTTAAAGTATGTGTGTTCATCATTTGGTACAGTTTTGATATACTTACAGGCTGATTTCTTCATGAATTGTAGAGGGATGGATCTTTTGTACAGTATGAACCAGTTATTCAGTGTTAGGTCCTTCTGTTAAAAATTTCTATCTGTCTCATGTACATAGTCACTTTTTAGGCAAAAAGTCAATATAATACACATATCATATACAATAAAAGATTCAAAGAGCATGCTTGTCCTAATAACCTAAACTAAATCTCGACATGAGCCCCAATCACAAGGAGCAAACAGGGTTTGTTGCCTGGGAAAGAGGTAATAAAAAGGAGATGATTGTTTTAAATAGTTGATTTCACATTAGTGTTAAAAATGACCAAATAAAGAAGATTCATTCTTATTTCAACTTTGCAGTCACAAAAAGGTGATATCATGTATGGAAAATATTGCTTGGTGATTTGTTGGTGTGGGAATGACTGGAAAGCAAAAGAAATTGTTGCCAGGAAAGGAAGATAAAGCAAGACCCTGTTTTACCTTGGTGACAATGATGAGGCAAATATCTAATGTCATGGAAGGGTCTTTCTGGCCTCAGAAAACAGGAACAAAGAATTAAAATTATGTCTCAGGGTCCCTTTGTCCAAGAGGGTTCAATTTAATTTCCTTAATTGCTTTTTACAGTGCCAAGAAAGACCTTTCAAAAACATTAAATAGTTGTCTCATCATTGTTGCCAAGGTAAAACAGGGTCTGTCTTTATCTTCCTTTCCTGGCAACAATTTCTTTTGTTCCCAGTCATTCCTGCACCAACAAATCACCAATGAATATTTTAAGTACATGATACCACCTCTTTGTGGCTGCAAACTAATGAATCTCTTGCATTTTTATACTAATATGAAATTCAATATTTAACATACTTATCTGCTTTTTATTAGCTCTTTATCAGGTGAAGAACCCTGTTTGCCCCTTGTGAATAGCATATCAACTCTTAACTTGGATTGTAGATATGTCTGTCCAGGAAGAACAGGTACATATCATGTAAGCCTGCACATGGATAGATTGTGTATGATAATACATCAGTGTTGGTTTTGCTTGTTAGAGGTATTGGGTGGTGTGGTGGTTTTGCAAATCAATGACAGTGAAGTGAGAATGGGTTTGTCAGTTAGTGTAAGAAGGGAATAGGCAATGGTCAGTTACATGCAAGGTGTTGTCATTTTCTTTGTCATATTACTTGGTCCATGCAAAGCTAGGTGGCTTACTTACCAAGGGGGTACTGTTAGAGTTCATAACTCAATGTTGGTGTATTCCTGCAAATACAATTGGTTAGTTTCTGTGCACTGAAGAGTCGTAGTAGTTGTGAGGATCCATCCTAAGAGGGAAGCTCTTATGCATCTGAGGGTTGGGCGAAGGTGCAGAGTGGGTTGCAGCAAAGGTAACTTGCAGATGGACAAGGAACTTGGAGTTGGGAACAATGCCAGAGGAGGTACGGCACTGGAGTTGGCTACAGCATTGGACTTTGTTGGATTGGTGAAAAGAGATATGTGCATAGCAGGACAAGTTCTGGGCGGAATGAGGCATATGAGGGGTCGTTGGAATGGTAGAGAGGAGACGAAATCAGATATGGAGAATGTGAGAGGCAGGGAGGCAAAGAGATCAAACATGAGTGAGATCATGAACTGAACGAGACTCCAAGGCATTGTCAGGTTAGTAACAAGATGGGAGCAAGGCTCAACTGGAGCTGGGAGCTAGAGGCTCAACCATGCAGGCCTATAACTGAGAGCAGGGCTCAACCAGGAGACAGAGATGAGAGACGAGGAACAAAGAAACAGTTCAGAGGTGCATTTGTAATATCAAGGATGAGGTAGTGAGTACATGACAAGCTACCTAAATACCTAAGGGAAGGATACCAAGGCAACCAAGGAAGAACAACAAGTACCATAAGGATGGAAGGAGACAAGGGAACATGGAATCACAAGGTAACAAGACAATAAAGGGTTGGGATGGAGAAACAAGGCATCATGGTGAAGGGTTTGTCTCAGGAATGTCTTGGCATAGGGCATGGGTGTGGGATGGTTGGTGACAGTAGTTACACATAACATAAACATAGAGTTAGTTCTGAGTAGTGTTTGGAAGTCCAGTCTCATGACTGGAAAAAGACCATAACCAGACTGGACCAAGACCACAAAAGACTGGACCTGCGGTTTGGTCTTTTTATTTTTGAGATGTAAAGACCACAAAAAAACCGGTTAACGTGAACTGGTCTTTTGTAGCCCCTTAAATATCCTTTAAAACGCACCCTAGAACGTACGATCTGGTCAAGAAAACGAGAGAGATATGAATTAAAATGTAAATTACTTTTGGGAATAATAGATGTACCAGACTTATTTTATAGAAGCACCAATTCCTAACGGAATTTAACGTTCTTGGGCTTGTTTCAAAGCTAATAGAGATGTTAATAAATTTACCAATTTATAATTTTAAAATATTGGCCTAAAGACCGGTCATAAACCAGTTAAAACCGATGCAGACCGAAACTGGTCTATAGACCACAAAAAACCGCGGTCTGCGGTCTTTTTGTGGTCTGGTCTGGTCTTTTGACTTCTGGGGAAAAGGCAGACCAGTTACGGTTACGGTTAATGCCCCTGGGCATCAAAAAACCGGACTGAACTGGACTTTCAAACACTAGTTCTCAGTATTCCTGAAAGCATTGAGAATTCTTGTGGTCTGTCGGTTCTGAGTGTCTTTGATCAAAGTGTCAGTGCATAGCTTTAACAATTTGATCAGAGTTAATTGATAGTGCTAGACTTTATCAATTTACTCAAGTAAGATGCTTAGTTCTCTTAGAACACAAGTCAGATTTATTTGGGGTAAAAGTAAGGATGATCCTCCTTCTTGCATTTCACTTCCTATAAATACAAGTACAAATATTTACAGAAGTTCCTAGATTTTTCAAGTACAAATGTTATGGAAGTATCTACACCTTTCCTGTCAGTGCTATGACATTCCTCCTTATTGCTTACTCAAGAATTTCCATGTTTGGTCAGACCTGTAATTAGTGTTTAAAGGTTCAGTCCATAGGACTGAAAAAAACCGTAGGACCGAACTGAACCAGACCATGGTCTGGTCTTTTTTTCGGTTGCAGTTGCCCAAATTTGGGGTTATTCCGGTTGCTGGTTGCCTCATTTCAAAAATCTCTTAAAACCGTTCAAAGACCGGTTTCAATCGGTTGCAACTGGTTAAACGGTCACGTGCATTACATACCCTTGTAACCACATTTATTAACTTTAATTGCGTTTTTAGTTCATCAAAAATGGTTAAGAACTGAGAAAGATATAACCAAATCCATTTTGGTACAAATACTTGTTTGCACAACTTGTACCAGAATGACTTTAATTCTAACTCACTCAAATTTTCATCATTTTGCTTGATTCAATTTTTGGATATTGAAACTATAAGTATGGGGATATGCTCACAATTTATCAATGTATGGTATGCATCAAATAATTTGCAGTTGCCACATTAAATTGGCTCGCATTACTTCTTGCACACACTCTTACTCCCTTACCACCACATACCTCTCTTACACGCTCTCATACCTCATACCTTTACTTCTCTTATATCTCCAGAATCATGCATGTGGTTAATTTCTGTTGTCTGTTCTGTGAGTAGTGTTATCTACCCTGTGAACACAGGATAAATTTCCACTTTTTTTGAAATTTTGCTGCTACTATCAGTTCTGACAAACTCGACACGCACATATAGTCACTGCCTTTTTGGCCCTTGATTCAGGCCATTAACTGGCACATGCACATGCTGTCTTGTATGTTATTACCATGTCTGTCTTTCATGACACATCAACCCTGATTAACCATATCTGAACAGTGGAGGGTATATCGCCTGTACCACTACGCCGTCGCTGTCCATAACCATCATTGCTGTTTTCTCCATCTACTGCAACACTGGAATTTCCCTGTTTTACCCACACCACCGCTTCTGGACAGCAGCTGCCAATTCTTGACGGTTTGATTCCAACGACATGCACCAGGAACAACTGTCTACAATTGCCACAGCTGGAGGTGCCATCAGTACCATCTTCGTCTCCTCCATGACCATCTTCCTCTCTGCTTTCTCCCCTAATGCCTTCCGCATCCCCCCCATCATCTTTCTGTCTTTCATCCAACTCTTCAGAGGATGAACAACGCGCATATATTCAACCAAAAAATCATTTGAAAATGTCTACACATGCCACTGTTGAACCTACCAGCTCCAAGGCACCCATCTTAACTCAGGGTGACGTTTCACCTGCAGTAATGATGGATTTCGAAAATGCGGCCCTAGATTTCTTTGTCTCCAAGTCCATCCCTGCAGACAAACAAGTTACTATGGTCATCCCTGGCATCAAAGACCTCCATATTCATGATTGGATTACTGCAGACCGTACGTGCATTGTGGCTCCCCCCTTTGCTGATTTCATGGCCAAAATGCATATGAATTACCTTCCCCCTGATTGGGAAGACCTTGTGCACAACGAAATCCTTACATCCATGCTGGCAAATTCCAAGACAACCTTTTGGAACTGGTCTCAACAACTGCTGAGGTTGAACTGCCTCTTGCAAGGCACATCATCTGCTCTTGACGACACAGGCCTCCGTAATCACTTAGAAGCACACCTCAACGACAATCTCAAGGCAAAAGTCAGACACAGTGAAGCTCGCAAAGACAAGAACTTCAAATCTTGGGTCATGGCTGTCCGCTTTCTCGATGAAGCCTGCGCAGTTGAGATGAAACACCAGTGTGAACTAATTGAAGAGACCATTCTTCAGCACCAGGCTAAGCGACAGAACACAAACAATGACACCTTACATGGACCATCGTGTTGCACCAATACCACCCAAAACAATACCTCCTCCTCTGCATCATCCAGCACTTATGTCCAGCTTCCAGCTCTTACTGACGACAAATGCGTGCTCCTCAATGATCACAAAGGGTGTACCAAGTGTTGCAAACTCTACATGGACCATCGTTCACAGAATTGCCCAGACAGCTTCCCACCTGGCAAGGGTTACAAGACATTGACCAACACTGATGTAACCATTGCAAAGAAAGCCAAAGTGACTGCAAAATCCATCAAGAAAGCTGTCACCACTACCACCACAACAATTGAGCCTGTTGACCCTGACGACAAGGTTTCTGCAGCAGCCGCTATTCTCCCAAAATCTCCCAGTGAGTACAACTCAGATTCTGATGAGGATTGGGATGTTTCACACTGTGAGGTGAGTCTGCCTGTCTGTGACAAACACCTAATCTGGGAATGTCGGGTACACAGTGTAACTGAAGATTTTCCAGGGAAAACCCATGCACTGATTGACAATGGTGCCCATCTTGTCCTTATCCACCCAGAACTAGTCGAACACCTCAGATTGAAAAAGTAGAGATTGCCTAAACCTGAACTCGTAGATGTCGCCTTCAGCAACCAGAGAATGAAAACTGAATTGTATGATTATGTCAAACTTTCCCTTACTTCGTTAGACTGCACTTGGACTTCGTGCTCCGTTAAAGCTATTGTTACACCAGGCCTTTGCGCCCCTATCATTCTTGGACTGCCCTGGCTCGTGCACAACTTGATTGTTACAGACCACGCCTCTCGTACCTGCTTAGATAAATTGAATTCATATGATTTTTTAAATCCGCCACCTGTATCTCCACCCCCACCACCAAAACTGAAAGTCCGTGAACAAATAAAAAACACCAAGGCAAATAAAAAGTTGGTTCTAGTGGAACTGATGATGGTCTGTAACGACAGGATCAGGCATTTAAACCTTACACCTGAAAAAGTTAAAGATTTTGATGTGGCTGGTGCTGTTCGGGAAAGGATTGAAAACCTAGCAGCAATAGAAGCATTAAAAGAATGCGAAGATAAACTGAGATCTGAATACAAAGTTGTTTTCAAACCAATACCGCATGTTGATGAATTACCACAAAATGTCTATGCAGAAGTAAACATCAAGAATGTGGAAAAATAATCAAATTGTGATCTTACCTGTCACCATGTAAATACAAAGAAGCGTGGCAAATTCTGATCCAACAACACTTAGACACTGGATGTATCTGCCCATCATCTTCACCTTGTGCTTCACCAGCATTTATAGCACCAAAGGCTTACCCAAACATTTTGCCATGGTGGGTGAATGACTTTCGACAACTGAATGAAAATACTGTAACAGATTCTCATCCCCTTCCCCATATAGATGACATCCTGACTGATTGCGTGAAAGGTAAAATCTGGGGAACAATAGATATGACAAACAGTTGTTTTCATACAAGAATGCACTCTAACCATGTGCATTTGACAGCTGTTAACACCCCCCTTGGTTTGTACAAATGGCTGGTGATGCCAATGGGGTTGAAAAATGTGCCTGCCATCCACCAACAGTGAGTAACAGCCGTGCTGTGCACACTGATTGGCAAAATCTGCCATATTTACATGAATGGCATTGTGATCTGGTCAAATTCCTTGGAAGAACATGAGTGCAATGAGTGCAATGTCTGTGCTGTTCTCCAGGCGCTTCGTGATGCTCGCCTCTATGTCAACCCAGATAAAACACATCTGTTCTGTACTGAAATCGATTTCCTTGGACACCATGTCAGTGCCTGAGGAATTGAGGCTAGCAAACAAAAAATTGAGCGCATTCTGTCTTGCCCGAACTGAAGAGTGCCATGGAAGCTCGTAGCTTCCTGGGCCTCGTCTGGTATGTCACAGCATTTTTACCTTCGCTTATTGATCACACAGGTGTACTGACTGAACTTACAATGAAAGACTCCGAAAAGAGCTTTCCATCATGGATGCCCAAGTATCAGACAGCATTTGACACTGTCAAAGTGATCATAACAGGCCGTGAGTGCTTAACGACTATTGATTTTGCTGAAATGCCAGACCACAAAATCTTTGTAACCACCGATGCAAGTGATAAGTGCTCAGGCGGAGTACCTCCTTTGGGGAAACATGGGAGACTGCCTGTCCTGTTGCTTTTGACTCCATGACCTTCAAAGGTGTGGAATTGAACTACCCCGTACACAAAAAGGAACTGCTGGCAATCATCCGTGCATTGAAAAAATGGTGAGTGGACCTTTTAGGCTTGCCTTTTCTCATCTACACTGACCACAAAACACTTGAGAACTTTCATTCCCAGAAGGACCTGTCTTGATGCCAAGCTTGGTGGATGGAATTTCTTTCACAATATGATGCAAGAATTGTCTACATTAAAGGGGACAACAACAACATTGCCGACGCCCTCTCCTGTCTGCCTGTATCAGATTCAACATCCACAGATGCATCCACGAGGCATCCATATGATTTCTGTGAAGATGATGACACACTGTGGAGGTCTTTACCCTCCCCCACATAATCCATATGGATTCCAGTGGAGTCCAGTGGATTCCAGTGGCCCATTTGCTAGGCCAGATTGGCTTGCACAATGCCCAGTCCACTGGCCTCAAGTCCAGTTCAGTCCACTGGACTCTCACTGGACTACAAGCCACTTTCCTGAGTCCAGTCCCAGTCCAGTGGACTATGAGTCCAGTCATAGTCCAGTGGATTCCAGTGATTCCAGTGCATTATTGCTTATTATTGATTATGAATACTACAAAAAAGCGAAAATAGACTATGCAATGAACAAGCCAGACTTGTAATTCTATTGATCAAATACAAATATGAATAGAAGGGAAATGATTTACATATTAGTATAGGTAAGTGATAGATAAGGATTCATGATTTTGTTCAGTCTGTGGGGTGAAGTCACATGACTTACTTGAGGGTGTGCCATATTGTCACGTCTCCTGTTTGTGGCATGGTCACACTTCCATGACCATCCCTTTCCCTTCCACCACCACCACCCATCCACCACTGCCCTCTTGACACCCCTCCCTGCCCTCTCAACGCCAACGCCACCCACACCAACAATGCCCAGGCCCACGCCAACAATGCCCAGGCCAACACCAACAACGCCCATGCCAACGCGGAATGATGGGCCAAGGACAAGGAACAGCACCCATGACATTGCCACGTCATGGGCCAACGGTATGCCACTGACGCAAAAAGACCACAACGGACAACGACCCACACATGACAACAATGAACCACATGCAACAACAATGACCCACACACAACAACAATGAACGAGCACCAAGAGTGCCCACCTCCACCACCCGAAAACGACACACACCCATGAAAAACGACATGCAACAGACAATGACATGTGATGGATGACAACAACACAACACGATGACACATCAATGATGCGCGCCAACAAGGATGATGGCAATGTGACAAGGATGATGACATGCGAGAACGACAACACAACATGATGACATGTCAATGGCGATGCGAGCGGAGGGTGACGAGGACTCGGCACCACCACTTCCTCCCCCTCTATCAGTCCATTCCCTACCCCCTCTCTCAGTCCATCCCCTTCCCCCTCCATTACTCACCATTCATTGCCCCCTCCCACCCCCCACTATTCCTCCCTCCCCCCCTTCATTCCTCCCTCG